TCTGACTCAGCTATGAAGAACTTTTGCTGATCAAGCAAGACAGAATAGAGCCATTAAATAAAATCCTTTAAATTTTCATATCTGCTCAGTTTTGTATTCAAATATAAACAAAGCAATTTCTAAAGTAATGGAGTTTTTATTTATTAACCCATCAGATTTTATCACTTTAAACATTATTTTTAGTGGATACTCATATTTGAATAGACACTCCATTTATCTATTAAACAGTATATCTATTTTTGTCTACTGGCCTGAATGCTCAAGATATCTTAAAAATATATGCTCTCCACCAGGATTTGAACCTGCATCACCCTGAGCAGAGGGGAACTGTCATAGATTGGATGTTCTTTGACTCACTCAGCCACAAAGAACTTTTGCAAATCAAGCAAAGATGAATAATACCTTTAAGCAAAATCCTTCTCATAAACTCAATATTTTGATATCTGCTCAGGTTTATTTTTCCCTTGTCTTCTTTTTAATTTAGGTACAGTTTAGATTAGTCACTGTTTTTGACCACTTCCTGTTCAGCGCTTAGTTATCACTGGAAGCAACATAAAGCATGTGGTTCCTATATTTTCTCATCCTCCAAAATCTACTCGCAATAATAGCATTGCCAGCATGTACCTTTCTGACCTTTTCCTCTCTGCATTGGGCTCCTTTAATATTACATCATTATTTGAATATTTGTTTAAGGTTTGTTTGTTTAATGGTATATTAATTCATGATGGGTCATTTAATGCTGAAATTTAATTTTCTTGGGAACGTTGATGTAATAAAAATATGATGTATGTTATCCTGCTTTCACAATTGAATAAATGGTAGATGATACTCAGCTTTTGTGCAGATACATGTTTATGTGGACATAAATACTAGGGGCTGTGATGTGTGTTTTATGTTGTAGTTTTGTCAAAATTATAATTTTGAAGTACAGTTTGATTTCATGAAGAAATTGTAGGATATTATATGGATTAATACCGTGAAAGAATTCTTTCATGTTGATTTATTTGGTTGATTTTTTTTGGTGGCATATCGATCTCTATGGGTTATTTAATGCTGAAATCTTAATATTTTGAACAAAATTTTATGACAGATAAAATATATTGTTGGTAATTTTACTGTAAATATGTATTGTTGGTAATTTTTTTATAGAAAAATGTATTGCTGGCATTTTTTACTATAAAAATATATTTTTATATTTCATGGTGTGTTATTTTTGTTTGGGGTTTCAGTATTTGCCCATAGCAAGGTGCTACCCCACTTTGAGTCAGGATGAGACCTGGGAACAGCAGCAATTAAAAGGTGGTTCCACACTCCTCAAAACCTTCAATCTCCCGATCAGAATCAACTCAAACATGAGCATCCACTAAAATCATTTTTTGTGCTAATAATAAATGATGTCTGATTAAAAATGAAATGCATTAATTCCATAGAAATACAATTGAGAATTGAAGGGGAATTTTTTTAAATTCAAGTTAAAATCTATTAAAAATGTTTATTGGCTTTATAAGAAAATTCTATTTGAAAATGAAGAGCAGTTTGAAAAAGAAGCTTTTCAGTATAACCTTTAATTATACAAAATGATGTCCTTTTGTTATATGAGCTCTCATAATAAAGTGTAATTAATACTAGCAAGTTTTAAATAAGAAAGTAGTTTACAATCTGTGGACTTCAAAGGAGAAAAAGAAAAATAGTAAAGATATAAAATGAACATACTTTTAATGTTCTTTGTTCATTTACAAGATGTCGCACCACTTAGAATTGGTTGGTTGTTGGGCTCAACTTCCAAATCTGGAAAGAAAATAGCACAATTTTAGTGAATGGATTTTACAGATTTAGTAATAAAAAAATGAGAAATAAAAATGAGAAATTCTATTTCTACACAGTTTTCTTTACAGAACAGTCAAGGCAATTCATACTCTGTTCATTTTAAAGCTTTTTTTTAAGGAAAAATAATGGCTTGGGTAAACACAACTTCACCTAGGTGAATTTATTTTCATTATGATTAAATTAGTTTTGGAAAATACATTATTTCAATGCTGTTGTGAGGAAGAATATTTCCCTACAAATTTGGACTCGGTCATTGGACAAAAAGCATAAATACTCCTACATCAAGAGGAGTAGCAGTAGCAGCAGTAGCTTTTGCTAAAAACAAGTAGTTATTCACAGCTAAGCATTTGCTTCCCCAGTTTCTATTCTACATTTTATTTCCCTGTACCAAAATGTAATAAACTTGTTTTTAAACCAATTTTGTTTTTTCCACTCTTGTTTTTGATGATGCATTGGTGCACATTGTAAGCGATGCTGTAAGCTGTAATTTATTAGGGGTTTTGGACCTTGCAGCATCATACTTCTTTATGTCAACTCAATCAGTCTGCTGCTAGAAAATTTAGTGTCATGCTAGAATCTATCTTACACCTTTAAAAGTCTACAAGCTATCCATTCTTTAAATATTGTTACCACATTTGGTCTGGTGCTTCTATGTATTTAGAGATTCTTGATAAAATTCAAGGAAGAATTTGTAATGTTATCAGACTTCATTAACTTCCTTATCACTGTAATCTAGCTTCATTGAGCCTTTTCTATAAATATTTTCATGGCAATTATTCTAAAGAGCCTCCTGCTTTGATAACTTCAGAAATTAAGTGCGCTACAAGATTAATAGTTAGGTCTCATTCTTTTGCTGTTGAAACTGCTAAATGTAACTATAAATTATATTCTAATAGTTTCTTCTCTCATATTTTTGACCTGTGGAAATCTTGTGTCTTCTTGTCAACTATGATCTTCAAAAATTTTAAATGCAATTTCAATTGTCATCTTATTGAATTTTATTGTCCTTTCTCCTCAATAAAGTTCTTCAGTTTCTTTTGATTCTCAGTTACCCCCTTGCATCTTACCTTACTTGGGGTGAAATGATAAAAAAAAAGAAAAAGAAAATCAGATACCAATTTGTGCACTAATGGTAAACTACAAAAGACTTTCATTGAATGTAAATGTTCTGTGGAACACGATACTTTAAAAGGTATATTAATTAAATTTCAACCAGGGTAGAACTCAACACTAAGTCAATCTAATACCAGTTCCTAAACATATAGAATAGATTACCATTTCAGTTACTGTTGTTGGTTATGGCTTCCACAATACACAATTTTTTCCACTTAGTAAAAAGAAGAAATGAGACTTCAGTTATTTATATTATTTACAAATTAGCTATTATCCTCATCATTGTGTTATTATCATAACATTTTTGCCACTGTGCCCTCTGGCCTTCATCAAGTGTTTGTGAGTCCAGGTAACATTCAGGGAATTCCAAATTGAACACTTTATTTAATCTATGAGATTAGATTGTTCCTGTTTCTACTAACCAGATCTAGGAATATATCATTTAGTTCTTATTTAGTAATGCTTAGTTATTGCTTGCCCTGTTCCTACAAAGTCCAAGTACACATAACTTAGTCATCCAGGGATTGAGCTCACAAACCAGTGCTTTAGGTCAATCTTGAGTGGAGAACTTGGATCCAAAATTTAACCTGATGAGTGCTGCTGATTGTCACACTTGTCTGCACTCCATGTGGCTCCTTTTTTCCCCTAAAATTTAACTGCTGCTGCTTTTAAAGTCAGATGAAAATGTGAGGCCAAGAAGGTGCAGTGTGTTGCTCTCCAGGAGTCTAGCATCAGCCATACTGATGGGAGTCAAAATAGTTTCTCTGTTGGTTAAATGAGAGCAGTTTTGTTTTGGAAGCATTAAAATTTATGAGCCGTTTCCTGCCTCAGTTAACCACTGACTGGAGGTCCTTTTCAAGAGCAGATGCTAGGATTACTTTGTCAGTTCTGATGGATTTGCTATTATTTAGGGGATATCATGCATTTTACTGTTATATTTGCTGTGTAAATTACATGTGTGGAAAAAAAATCCTGTAAATGACCATCATTTTCCAACATGAAAAAATTAAAAGGAAATCTTGTTTCAATAATCGAATACACCATGGCTAAAGAGTGTTTGTCTTTTTGCAAGCATAAGAAAAGAAAAAAAAAACAATGCTTGTCAATTTCAAACTCTTAAACACTGTTCAAGATGAACGAAAAAGTTCAATTATGCAGCTGTTAATAACATTCATATATTGATTGATTATCTAGAAATCAATACTCCCCACTTAAGATTGATTAGTTTAAACAAATGATCTTTTGATGTCTGAATAACATTTTGTCCATCATATTGAATAGATAGAGTGTGTGTGTTTGAAGAACTGTTTTATAATACATTAAACATTTACTCCCAAGCAGTTTCTATTTGTTGCAGATTGTTGGAAAGCAATTAGAAATTGTGGCATTTACACATGAACTTATTTGATTGAGTTTTTGTTACGATGTAAGTGTAAGCGTTCTCAAAGCAAATTTGTCACAGATCACTTTCACAACACAAAGAAAAATCACTAAGTACAGACTTGAGTATTGGGGGCAAAAAGAAATGCTGAAAACTCGATTCACCTGTACTATCTTAAATCACAATGCGTGTAACTAGTCAGGAAAATAAGTCACTCTCCAACAAATGCCGTAGCCAAAAATGCCCGAATTTCCCTTCCCCGAATCAAAAACACCAACTGCTTTTATTGGCAGAACCTATTTTTTTTTCATTCGTCGACAGCTGGGATAGGATGCTCCGTAATTTGCATATCAATATACTCTTATAGCGACTCCTGCGATGGACTTGTTTTTTTTTCCGTCACAGAATACACGCTGACGCGCTGTCGCAGGTTGTTGAGGTAAGTCTTTTTTTCTTCGCTATAAGATTTTTGCTAACTACTTTTGGTAATCCTTCTTCGCAGATCGCATGCAACAAAACACGAACTTTTTTCCGGGGTACCTGATTATCTCGTTCACTACACTCCCCCGTCACATAAGTGACACTCATGGGCGGGCCTCTTTATTCTTAAGCTTCTCCGGAGCAGGGCGACTGTTGGAGAAGATTGTGTATTATGTTCTGAGGTTTCTTCTGATCTGACAACCTCATGCGCAGAGTCTTCATCATCTGAAGAATGTTCTGAAGATTCTTCTTCTGAGGATTCTTCTGGTCTGACAACCTCACGCACAGAGTCTTCACCATCTGAAGAGGTGCTAGCCCTACCTCCAATGGTAATTATTTGTTCACTTTCTGAGCACTCACTGCTAGTGTCACTTGTTGACGTATCTGTACCTACATAGCGACGCAAGTCCTTTATGTGTCTTGGTATGCCATCAACCAGCACAGAGTGCGAGTTACTTAGTCCAGTGACATGCCCCACCTGGTACCGGGTTGTACACCAGCTATGTGGAGTTTTCACCCACACGCGATAGCCCAAGTCATAAGGCACACGTTCATTTATCCGTTCAGTTGAACGCATTGCGTCAATGCCTCATAGCCGAACTTTGTACTGATAAATCATGTTGGCTGGCGCAGTTGAGGGTGATACATTATTGTTATATGACATCGCTCGATTATGCCATTCCCCGATGGGACATACGCGCAGTGAAATCTGAGGTGTACTCCCCACAAATCCACAAAATCTTTGAATAGTCCACTGCGGAATGCAGTGTCGTTGTCAGTGAGGAGTTCCGTCGGAGGTCCATGTTCAAAGAACAATGACCCCAAGTGGTCAATGACGCTTGCGGAATCCTGTCGATGCAGACGCCGCCAAATAGTGAACCGGGTTGGGCCACAGTCAATCAGGGTTAAATAGTGATGTCCGTTATAATGGGTGATGTCCATTCCAACACGGTGCCACACCTTGCTTACACTCACTTGTCCTTTTTGCCATTGCACAGGTGCTGGGTCGATGGACTGACACTTCTTGCATCCTCTGACCACTGCCCTGACAGCAGCTTTGGATACGGAGGGATAAATCTGCCTCACGAAATATAGGGTCTGTTTTACACCGAGATGTCCGCTTTGGCAATGCACAGATTTTAGTAAATCTGAGTTATAGTTGCTCGCTGATGTTACACAGACATGTCCTACCGGCTCTACCTCTTTCTTAATAGCGTCAAGCCATTTTTGGGGTACCCTTGTTAAAGTATCGGCCTTGTTCTGCTGTGATCTGACCAGCTGTATGTCTATGGATAAGTGGTATTCACTTACCAACTTTCCCAGTGTGTCTAGCCACCTTCGAATGAGCATCTCGCTCGCAGCCTTTGTATGTATCCTAGCCTTCCCCGTAAGAGTGTCTGATATCCACTTATACACGCATGCGGAATCCGTGAATAAATGCAATACCTTTGCATTCCATTGAAGGGCCGCGGTGACTCCCCTGATAACGGCGTTTAATTCTGACAGGTTGATATGTTGCGTATCCTTCTCGGGACGCAACCAACACACATCTTCCACGACAGTTTCACCTACTTCAAGAGACTCCTGTTGCAAGGGAGCTCGCATCGACCCAGACGTTAAATTCACATCCGTCAACGCACCATTTACCACGTATGGGGTCGTCTTGATGCATCCTAGTAATGTCTTCCGCTATCAAGGGGAGCATCATTTGTTGTGTCATCCCAGCTGGAAGTGACAGCAGTCACCCTACGTTTAATAAATACAGTTGCAATGCGGATCCACCCCATCACGGAAAATGTCCCACCAGCTTTCCACATAACGAAAACACGCCGCGTCCCGGGTCATGTGTTTGGGAATGTCCGGAGCTTCGCTTCCACGTTTCCAGTAAAGCATGTTGTGCTCCCCCAAGACCTGCAAGCCGAGCACCTGAGCACCATCCTCCAGTCGTTCTGGGTTTTATATTCGAGCCCAAAGTCAGCAAGATGCTTTCTCACCCCTAAGGTTTCGTTGATGTAGATGTCGTCAATGTAGGCTGACGCGCTGAGAATTGTCTCCTCCTGGGATAGCACAGCATCCACGATGGCTTTCATGATGGCCAGCGCCACATTGAGTCCAAATCCCATTTGGGTTAAGCAGTATCTCGTCCCATTAAGGATCGTCTGAAATGGCCACAGTGACCAGTGCACGCATACCTGCAAGTAGGCCTTTCGAAGGTCAATCACAGAGACATTGGATCCCTTCGTTCGCCATTCTCTCAATTTTTTTGCACACACATCAGCATGAGCTGTGTATGTGTCTACATGTTCGTTCAGTTCTCTAATCTAGTACAGGGTGCACCTTTCCCTCGTTCTTTTGTACCACGGCCATCAACGGGATGAGGCCTCTTGGAGGACCAAGCTCTTCCTCGGGATACGGAGTCAGCCATCCGTTATCCAGCCACACCTGCAATTCACGCTGGTATTCTTCCTTGACGCGTTCGGGCACCAAATATTCTGACACTCGGTTCTGGAGCTTTTCTGGTGGGTTATTTTTCGACCATTTCCAAAATGCTGTCCATGTCTTCGTTCTTTGGTCGAACTCTGCGCTAAAGTCGGGCTCGTTGATCTTCAAAGTAGCACAGATGGGCGGATCAGAAAACTTGACTTCACCCACCTCTGTAATGCGTATGCTGCCCAGCTCCTTAATAATGTCCATCCCAAGGAGCAGATCGAAACCTAATAACGCGCTGTCCACGACCAACAGACTGACTGTGACAGGGTCACAGTTTGTTAATACTGAGTTTGATGTTTCCAACTCCCCGGCTTCTGAGAGCCTTTCCATCAGCTGTTAGTACGTCCATCTTTTGTCTGCTCCACTGTCGGCAAATTGAACCATTCGTGAGTGACTGAGAGCAGCCCGAATCTATTAAAGCGGTACGCGTTATTCCATTGATGCGTACCTTAATCACAGGGAGTGCCTCTTTCATGCTCGGAGTGGGGAAGAGACCGGCGCTGACGTCGCGTCCCCCATTCCATTTCCCGGACACTTAGAGGCAATATGACCTACTTTATGACATTGGAAGCATCGTAGATCGAGACGTGCCTTTTGTGCTGACCCGCTGCGCATTTCTTCGCGTTGATAGCGGCAGTCTCTGGCAAAATGATTCGGCCCAGAGCACAGATAGCAGGTGGCAACGCCATGGTGACGAATGGCTGGGGTCAGACCTTCTTTGACTTCAATTAGTTGAATAACTGCGGCCACTGGTTCATCAGCCTCTTTTTCGTCGATCATGACAGCACGGGCTCTGGTCAACAATTGATTGAGCGTCAGGTCTTCCATTCTGGATGATGCGCGGAGTATCTGCTTAACATGACTGGGCAATCCAGAAACGAAGGCACATGTCATCCATTCTTCAGGAAGCGGTGCGATTGGAACGGCGAGCTTCTTTAATTCTGCCAAATATACGTCTACTGTCTCGCCAGGTCACAGACGCCGTGCCTGGAATTGGTCGTAGACCACGAACCGGTCAGTTCTAAATGCGGTTAGTAGAGCGTGCTTTATTTGCTCAATGTCACTTTTCTGTTCTTTACTCAGCTGCCTATACACAGCAAGGGCACCGCCATTCAATCGCAGAGGAAGAATCCGATCAATCTTCGATATCTCGCAGACCAGTTCCACCTTTTCGATCCATTCAACCACAGACTGTCCACTAGTATCACCACTGAATTCGGGGATCAGTTTTATATCGAATGGTCTTTCCGCCATCTTGCGAGAGACAAAGTAAATGCTGAAATAGCTTGAAGAGTAAGCGTTCTCAAAGCAAATTTGTTACTTTCACAACATAAAGAAAAATCACTTGTAATGCGTCAGGAAAATAACTCACTCTCCAACAAACACCGTAGCCAAAAATGCCCGAATTTTCCTTCGGCAGATTGCACACAAAACACGAACTTTTTTCCGGGGTACCTGATTATCTCGTTCACTACAGAAACATATTTTGGATTGCAAGAAATATGAACTCTCTTGTAGGCTAATGTAGCATGCTTTCTTATTTTGCTCAATTCAGCTGTAGCAGCAACAGAAGTAATCCTGAAGACATAACCAGAAGTCATAGAACTCATAAAAAATGCTGTCTGTGCCGTATTCGGTCTCTTTTCCACTTTTCCTTTTCAGCAGCTGCAACCTTCAAGGCCCAGCTTGAAAAACTACATATAACACTTGCTGCAGAAGACACATAGTCCTGTTCTGGCAGCTTGACTTCAGATTTCTTGTTCCTTGTGGGAATAGATGGAGAAATCTCCCTTCAAAACAGCTACCCAAAGGAAAAACTGCAAACAGCTCTTTCTGTAGAAGACACATACCTGTCTGGGTAGTTTCACTCAGATTTCTTGTTTCTCCCAAGGGAACAAGTAGAGAAATCTCTTTCTACAAAACATCTACTCAAGAATTTTGTTAACTGGAAAACCCAACTTTTCTCCCCTTGTAAAATACCCACTATTTTGCACTCTTTCAAGCACAAAATAAAAGTTATTAAACAGTTATTTTGAGCCTTGGGTTTTGTTCATTCCACTCTCACTGCTGAGCACAAACAAACACACAAGTAACTGGGAAAAGTCCTACAAAGAATTATTCTTTTTTTGTGAATATTACTTTAAGAATTTTTTGAGAATAACAATGATCTTTCAGATACAGGTCCTACTATTTAACCCATAGCTGGTGGGGAGGAGATGAATTCATGCCTTTCCACAGATTATGTAAGTGAATGTAATGCACCCAACTGAAATTTGATCTGGACTATCACCTTAAAAGGTCTTATAGGTACATTAGTGAACAATTTCCTTTGCCTGTTTATTTTTTCCTTGAGTAAAGCATCCTTTGTTCATATGGATTACACCTGTCAAGGAATGAAGAATTAATCAGCAGAAATGTTAAGTTATTATAGAAAGATTTGAGCGCCCAAACAATATTAGATAAAAGTGATGTGTTACAAGCATTAGTGTGAATGGGTTGGTCTGATCAGTTTATTTGCTATAATTTCTTTTGAGTACTTTGCAGCAAAAAATGATTCCCCATTTATATGGATTGTACACCTGAAGATGGATAGAGAATGGGTTAGCTGAAATGTGATAAAATATCACAATCATATTGTATGAATATGTTGTGATCAGTATACTCATTTTTAATAAAATCATATTGTTTGAACTATATTGTAATTACTATTAATTATAGCAATTATGTGATTCAAACCTGGGTCTCATGGTCAGAAAACAAATGTTGTAACCACTCAGCCACATACCCATATAGATGGTTGTGCTAGCAAAAAGTCACAAATCATGACTGAGGGTTTGTGCATACTGGCCTTGTTCAGACTGCTGACTGATCACGCTAGGTAACACACTATCTCCCAGAAATTTTAATAAAGGTCCACTCAGCATATAAACCACAAGTGGGATCTATGGGTTTTGAACAAACAGAAATGTACCTAAGCAGGTATCTGAAACAGGGATTAGTTAACCACCCTAGTAGGCAGCATCCTCAAATAAAAGTGGCCAGCTATCCATACTAAATGCTTGAACTCTATAGCAATTACTTTTAATT